CCGGCCCCCCCCCCCCCCCAACTCTCCACCATCACATTGTAATATCGGCCATTCTCTGAATGAAGAATCTACGACGGAATTGATATCGGGCACTTACGGCGGCGTGTCGGCTCAGCTAATATACGGGACATTTACCACCCCGGTGAACAGTATAAGCGGCTCGGCGGTCTGTGCCTTCTCCCTCCAGGACATCGCAGACACGTTCGAGGGCAACTTCAAGGAGCAGAGCGCCCTCAACTCCAACTGGCTGCCGGTGCAGAGCTCGAAGGTGCCGGACCCGAGGCCCGGACAGTGCGCCAATGACTCGCGCACATTGCCCGACCTCACGCTCAATTTCATCAAGAGTCACTCCCTCATGGACGAGTCGGTCAGGAGCTTCTTCGGTCAGCCCATTGTCATACGCACGAGCTTTCAGTAAGCGATAGAGACATTTTACTCCATGCATTTCCTACTTCCTTGCAAGTACTTTTTTCTTTATCTTTCTTTATTTCTCTTTTTAAGCACCCAATTATCGTTGTACTTTTTCCCATTACAATATCTGCCCAAAGTCATAGGGAAATGACGGTTTAAGAGTAAGCACTTATAAATAATTATATGAGAAATGTGGCCAGTAAGGTCTCTTTTAGTTATTATTAAACTATTCCTCGTCTCTCCAAGAGTCTTATGAATATTCACTCACCCGTTTATTCACTCACTATAAAAAAAAAAAAAAAAAAAAAAAAAAAAAAAAAAAGTATAATTAAATAAAAAGACGATCGGCACACAAGTCCCAGTTGAGTTAGCTGTAAACTTTGAGTTGAAAAGACTGAGAGCATCAAACATTAATGTTGTTGGAAATACATTTTCATGCGCATAATGCAAAAATACATGTTTATTCGAATACCGCTGACTTTTCTCACAACTCGTATAAAAGATATAAATTTTACAATTGTCGAGAAATTATTATTATTTATTATTTATTATTTATTATTTATTATTTATTATTTATTATTATCATTATCGTTACATCTTCTTTTTTATAAAACTGTCTAAATGCCCGGGGAAATCCAATGAAATAATTATTATTATAAGTATAATATAGTCATCGCTTATGCACGACACATTTCGATAAATTGCAATCCTTAGAAAGTCCATGATAAATGAAGCCATTGTATCGCTGATTATTCAAATGGAAATTCCAGCTATAGATTCACGCAAATCACGGTGGACCCGCAAGTGAAAACGCCCGGGGGCAAGACTTACGATGTGCTCTTTATCGGCACGGATAACGGCAAAGTGATAAAGGCAATAAACGCCGAGTCCGCGGACTCCAAGGACAAAGTAAGCCCCGTGGTGATCGAAGAGATCCAGGCGTTCCCGGCTACGATACCGGTGCGCGGCATCAAGGTCGTGAGGGCTACACAGCCAGGAGATGGCCTCGAAGACGGGAGGCTCGTCGTCATCGCCGACAGTCAGGTTCAGGCCCTTAGACTGCACCGCTGCTATAGCGAAAGGATATTGTCTTGTGGTAAGTGATCGGTCTTCCTTTATATTCCCTAGACATTGACACGAGGCCGGGAGATGAGGATGGGCGCGTGTGTGCATTTTGGGAAGAGAAGGGGCCCGACATTGCAAAGACTGTTCGTGGCTTTACATATTTCATAACTCGTGATTGCCATTGTCGAAATTCATGCAAATTCGAGTCGTTTAATAAGTTTAGCGCTTTACTATTGTCCTTATGTGAAGTTTTAAGAAACAAATCAAAATCACAGCCCCTTTCTAACGGAACAACTAGTAATTTAACGTTGAATAAATGAACAAAATTATTGCTTAGGATCTTTTTAAATAAATAAAAGTATAAATAATAAATTTCTTTCCCATTAAGATATTTTACAACACTTTTAATAATGTAATTATTATGATTCGATCCTTCAGCTCTTAAAAGTATTATTAATTTATTATTTCTTTATATGATATTCCAATTTGAGAATTAATTAAATTACTTTCGAAATTGATTATTAGAATAGAATCATTTTAATTCGACAAAATTATTTTAGATAAAATAGACAAATGATTCGTGTCAATTGTGAAATATCTTATCTGTAATAATATAATTTAAAAGATATTGGAATAAATAATAAATAAATTTTGTCACAAAAATACTTTCTTACCAAAAATTAAATTTACCACGAATATTTTTACTTAAAATATTTTATTCGTTATCATTATTTATCATTATTTATTTTCATTTTTGAAAGAATATTGTTTCTGATATTAGAGAAGCAAGTAAGATAAATAAAGACGATGTTTAAAGTAATAATCATTGGGATTTAATTATGTGTGTTTTACGTCGATTAATAAAGAATAACTTTTACTTTTAAATGATTCGTTTAATATTGAACTTTATTTGCCGAAAAATGTTGAAATAAATTAAAAATTTTTGCTTTAACATTTAGAGATAAATTATTGCTGATTATCATTTCTATTATAGATATAATAGAGATATATTACTAATTAATTTAATCACGTTTTACAAACAAAATAGAGAAATTCTAGTTAGTTCACACTTTCTAATGCTAAGCCAAACATTTTATTTTATTTTTTATTAACTTGGCTGTAGAAGTTTAAAGACATATTAAAATCCAAGTTATTATATAAGATTTCATTACTTCTATTGTAATAAGTTTTTGTACTTTGAATACGAAGACAATAGCGGCACTACCGAATTAGAGAACATTCATTTAAATATTATGAAACTTTAAAGTGGAAGTGGATTGGATATTCTTTGAAGGAAGGATTAATAAATACTTAAATTGATGCTTCATAATATCAATTTCTATTAGTTATTGTAAATTATTCTTAATCGTGAGCTTCAAACATTATTCATCATCTTTGTAAATATGAAGTAGAGAAAAAACACATTAATAACTAGTCAGGCCAATAATACAATGATTGAAATGCCGAAAATTTAACTTATTTAACATATATAAATAAATTATTATATAAAATAAATGTTATGAAGAGCGGAAGGTTTGAAAGCGCGAGACTTGCGAATGCAGGAGTCAGCTCGTAAAAAAAAAAAAAAAAAAAAAAAAAAAAAATTTGAACGAAGTAAAATCGTCCGTTTGTTATGATGAAGTGAAGTAGCCTGCAGCGATGCATGGCATAGCCAAGTGCAAGGAGACGTAACAAATGGAGGATAGCGAATGATTTAAAGGCTGTTTCCTGACCGTCCTTTTTTTCTTCCGCAGGCGAATGCGTGGCGCTGCAGGATCCCTACTGCGGTTGGGACCGCATCGACGGCAAATGTCGGGCCCTCGTGGGCCCGGGCGCGACCGACGCCAGTCGCTTCCTACAGAGCATCTCGACAGGTCTCCACGCCTCTTGTCCGCCTGGGAAGAGCCTGAATAAGGATGCGAGCAGCGTCGGCGCGATATCCGCCAATCAGAATAAGTTCCCTCAGGACTCGATGGTCTCGAATAAGGACAGCCAGAACGGTGAGATCATCAACATCATGCAGGACGAGGAGCAGAGCAATTCCGGTGAGTGTGATTCGTGGCGGCCGTGCATTCTCAATTACAATTGCTTGTGTGCGTGGCGTTTGTGTGTTTGTGTGTTTGTATGTGGGCGCAGTGCCCTACGGTTGTCAGAGGCCGAATTTTCAAACTTTACCGAGGACAATGTCCTCCCACGTATGCCAGTATTCAAATAATTCGTTCTGGCAGCTAAAGTTTTGCTGGTCGCGGCGAAAGCCTCAGCTCGTCCGACATGTAAGCAACGTATGGTTAAACTTTCTCACGGAACATCGGTTATTGCTTTAATGCTTATTCGAACAGTTGACGCGGCTTTTTAATAACATTATTCATAGATTATTCACTAAGATTTTCAGTCGAATCAACAAATACAGAAATTCATTAATTATTATTTGTTGTTTGAGGATAAAATTCTCGTGCGTTTTTTTTTTCTTATTTTTTTTTTTTTTTTTTTTTTTTTTTTTGTACGTAATGTGCCCGTATACGAATGTGATTTTACGATACTACGATTTTACAAAAATGTGCACTTTTTATAGTGACTATTTATATTCGTTATTTGGTCGATAGTAGAATAAACATTGTATAAATTTCGCGTGAAGATGAATGTTTTTTTCTCTTGGAGAAATTAATAATAATATAATGCCAAAGTAGCAATCGAGTAATATTATTATTTATTTATAATTACGATATGTATATTTGAATATAAAGAAGATGTTTACTTTAAACTTGACTGTACTTGACTGTATATTTGTAATGTACTCTTTGCCTAAAATACCGTAAATATTACCTTTTCTTTTCGAAAAGAATTAAAGATTTTTTATTTTAATTTTCCGTTTTAATATAAGCCTTTTTAAGCTGAATATAGTATTTAATTAAAAAAATGTTAAGAAAATATTCTGTATTTTTCACTTCGTCATACGGAGAAATTTTTATTTAAAAATGAAAAGATCATTCTTACAAAATCCGATGGAATCAAATTCTATATTAATACACGATGAAAAAGAACATGATAATTAACGCGTAATTATTTATATTAAATATTTTATGTGGAGATATTATGCAAATAGATTATAAGTGCAATTGCAGTCTAATCAAAGCGTGTAAACGATAAGAAACAAACTCACAAAAGTTAATTGGCTTTTTCTCAAAATTCTCATTTCTCAAACTGTAATATTAACTGTTTAAGAATTATCGTAACGATAAGTTTATCGCATGAACCTTCATATATTCTTGAAATATTTCGTACAGTAAGCAAAACTACGGGATATCTGTCACCGTAATATATCGTGATGTTTATTAAAATTAAAAGCAATCCAGTGAAATTCCATTCGATTACGTTTGTTGTTTAAAAACGTCAAAATGATACCAAATTGTGGTAAAAAATTAGGTTAAAGTAACTCGATCAAAAGCATCCGACGAGCATTACATATCGTTTAATAGATTGCCATTTCCACATAGTTTTGACAAATGGCAATTACAGAATAAGCATTTCATTCAGCAGATTATTCATAACGTTTTTTCATAACAAAAGACGCATATATTCATGGTCACGTGATCAGATTAAGATCCAATAAAAAGGCCACTGAGTCGCTTGGATATAATAATTATCCAATGCAAAGTCATCGACTGAATAGTTCACGATGGAAAATTTATGAACGCAAAAATTTAGTTTGCAAAAATTAATTAAACGTTGATTAATGGTATTTTTGGCCATTAGCCATTAATCGCATCGTTAAACAATTAGACGACAACAAATACACGCTTGATGAAACACTGATTAAATACAAAGTTGGAAGGTACGTTGAAAGTAAGCTCGAGCGTTACTCAAACTAAGCAATTATCGACAGTAGTCATTGGAACGATTAGTTGCTAAGGAATAACAGACGCTCATCAAAGGGCTACGATTTTAATGTACGCAAACGCAATTGATTTAGGACCCGAGGTGTCTGCGGCCGACTCACCGCCACCCCAATACTCCGTGGAAACTCTGGTGATGGCGGTGGTAGCGGGTGCCCTCGCAGCCCTCCTCGTCGGCTTCACGGCTGGCTACCTTTGCGGCCGAAAATGCAGAAAGGACGAGGACGATAACTTACCATATCCGGACACGGAGTACGAGTACTTTGAGCAGCGCCAAAATGTCAATAGGTGAGCAGCAGCCTGATTTATCAGTACTGATGTAACCTACCGGCCCCCGCCTTGTCGGGCTGCTCGCCTTTTTATCCTTAATACTCACAGATCCGTGTGTGATTAATTAGCGAGCTTTGCTGCAACGATCGCCGTCAAAATCAATATCCGATCAAATAATGGGGAAACTCGAGGTCGGTACATTAATGGCATTTTAGATGTAAGCTTGAACACTTTGATTGAATTAATTGAATTGGCGTTTGTTTAATTTTTCTATTCGTCCGGGATTGTGGCCGTCTTAGCAACCCCAGGCGACAGTTTCAAATACAGATTACCTTATCGATTATTTAATTGTATTGATCGGGGATGTTTATTAATGGTCGGTTTGTGGAATGTGTTGAGCACCATGTTGGACATTTGCAGCTAAAGGACGTTTATTTCACGGTGTCGGGCTCGATTTGAGTTGAATCTGCGAATCCTCGTGCCAAACGCCATAGGGTTAGGAGCGGCCGCAACCGTTAAAATTAATAATCGCCTCTCCGAGTTTAGGGCTAATAGCCCAAGGGCTAATAATAATACGCGAGTAAAAAAGAGCCAGAGATACATTACCGACGAACTTAAAAGTCAATGCCTCCCCACCCCCTCCCCCCTCGCCGTTAATAGTGTCTCAATGTCGCCGCGGGTCAATCGCGACGAATTCAGCCTAATCGATGCGACTTTTTGTGTTTGGCGAACCAGTCGGCTGGCCCCGGAGCCAAAGCTGCTACCCCAGGAGGAGGTGACGTACGCGGAGCCGGTGCTGGTGCCCCAGCCACCGAAACTCCACTCGCCCAAGGGTACGATGCGCAAGCCACCGCCGACCCCGGCCGAGACGCTGTTTCAGTTTCCAGAGGGTTACGGCTACCGCGGGCCCAGCACCCGAGCCGACAACTTCGGTACGTTGCGCTCGCACCAGGGCGACAACGCTTATCGGCGCAACGACGGCTTCGCCACGACGCGCAGCGTCAAGAAGGTCTATCTCTGAGAAACGAGCGAGGAGGGGGGTTGCAACGCCGCGGCCGCGGCCCAGGCGGCCCAGGTGGCCGCTGCGGGCCGACACCGAAGCCTCGGTAGGCCCGCGCGCAATCAGCACCGGCAACAGACGGCCCCAACCTCGAGGAACAACGGCGGCAACAACAGCAACGGGAGCTCGTCCCACAGGTCCGGCAACCATCATCACGGCCATCATCAGGGTCACTCGGCCCGTGATATGGCACTAGGTGCGTAAGTGCGATTGCCTTCTCATTCTATACTAAAGGGGCCTTCTTCGCAACGATAACTCTCTCACTCTCTCACTATCGTTCTCACTCCCACTCCCACTCCCACTCTCGCTCTCGCTCTCACTCTGCTTTCTCACGTATGCGTGCAAATGCACACGAGGCATAAAAGACAACCGGGTTGCCGTGCACGTGCCAAGGGACATTTACTTATTCGATTAATCATCGAGTCATTCGAATTTATTCGATAATGGGATTTTCTCTCAAATGCAAACGAGCTCGCTTGCTATTGCAACATTTGCGACAATTACATCGTGCTGCGTTAATAAGTTAAAAGTTAACGATTAAAAGCATTTGTAATTATACATTTCTGATATATATATATATATATATATATATATATATATATATATATATATATATTTTATATGCAGTGTGAGACTAATATGCAATGTGAGGCTAATGAATTTGTACATTTGACGATTGAAAAATACGTAACACACCAATGGTATCCGTAAGTTTTCATTCAAATCCAAATTATATTCAAGTCAATAATTATTCCATGCTGATTTGTACATAATAAGGATATTTATTATTTATATGTAAAAGAAAAAATAATAAAATTTTATATGCGTGGATATCATGTTTAAAACAAACATGTAGATTTTAAAGGAAGCACGAATACTTTTCGACTCTAAGCATTCATAAATTTCATTTAAAATTCTAATGAAATAACCAGTGCATTGTACATTAACGTTCAATTACGCTCATTTCGCGGTTTCGTGCAGCAACCATTGGCCCAAGGGCAGTAACATATTTCAATTTAATACACACTCCGAGCTTATTAACTTTTATTGACTTAAGCATTTCTTTTTCTTTTTTTTTTTCTTCTTTTTTTTTTGTTTTTTTTTTTTTGTTTTTTTTTCACCAGCAATATCATATTGGAGCGGAAGCAAAATGTACATGTCGAAGCGCGACTTGGCCCGAGGTCATCATTTATAAATCATAATCTTTCCACGCGCACACTCGACCTCTCCAAACTGTCATTTCAACGTTAAATTATGCTTCCACGACCTACAATCTCCCTCGGACAATGTGTTTACTCAACAATGACTTCTACTCAAGAATAAATATTTCTTCTACCTTCTCCTCCGCGCATCCCTCCCACATCCACCAACCGACGACGCACGACTAACTAGTGAGCGATAGCTGCTGATAATTAATGCTTTTATGTAATTGCCGACAGGTGGTAGTCGTGCCCTGGAGTCTCCGTCGCCGCCGTCGAGCATGTCCTCGAGCTCGCCGTCACCGCCCTCCTCCTCGCCGTCACCGACCCTCGTACCCCTGGGCAGCGGCAATCAGCCAGGCCAGGGCAGCAGTAGCCTCGTCCAGAGCGGTGGGGGCTCATCGCCGCCCCCGCCCACGCCGCCCTGCAGCTACATTTACCGATCATAGTGGCAAGGGGCTGAGGCACCCTACATCCAGCCGACAACGTACGAGGAGCTCGGCCTCCTGGAGGCCACAACTACCAATGATAATAACGCGCATCGTTGCACGAGCCGCGGATGACGCGGTCAGGCGCTACTCTCCCGCATCCCCGAGCCCCCTCGCATTACCCACGTTACCAAGAGCCGGGGCGCCCGCACCCCTACGCTTCAGACTTTTGTAAATATTGCGAAGTATTTTTATTTCGGAGGGTAGGTATTGGTCGCTCGGCGAGTGGGACCGGATGAGGTAGGGCGGGGAGGCTGGGGCGTCGAGCCGCGGTTGCCTCATCGCGATATTAAGCGTATGGCTGCTCTGCTTGCATTTGATTCGCTTTAGATTCTCGCGGGCCGCTCTCATCGTGCAATGGAAGAGAGTCGTTTGTTATCGACCGAGCAACATTGCGATTACAGTGTCACTTGCAAGTCCATCGGTGGCGAGTGACGTTGGCTTTTCGATAAGCATTCGTTGCGACTTTTCGGTTTTTTTTTTCTTTTCTTCCTTTTTTTTCTTTTTCCTTTTGTTTTTTCTTTTTTTCTTTTTTTTTTCTTCAGCGGCTACTTATTATACCAGCAGTCGATTTTTCAACGTTTTTTTTTTACTCGTCGGAACCCTTGCCTTTCATTTGTACTTAATGTTAATATTTCGTTGAATGCTTAATATTGGATGGAATGAAAGGCACGACTCTGTAGCGCTTTGTTTATCAACTTGTTGTAATTTGTAATTAAATGAGGATTATATACATCATCTTTATAATACATCTTAGTCATTAAGAAATCAACTATTTTCATTTGATCGAATGGTGAAATGATGTCGCTGTCGCGTTGAGGGTATCGATGGTGCTCCGTGATATAAGTCGGGATTGCTTATAATCATTTGTCATGTAAATTTTACGTATTTTTCTTAGTGATTATCATTTCCTTCATTTCCTCGTAATGGTTAATCCAGTGAGCTTTGTATGGAAGAGAAAAGCTGCAAGTTTAAGAGAACGACGATAATCAGGGAGAAAATTTAGCAACCGATAATTGCCAGCAATTAAGCATAGTTTCCAATAGTTTCTTGTAAATATAGATTTTATGAGTAATGATGCCGTTGGTACAGAGCAACCGATTTTTTGCAATAACGCAATCTTAAATTTAGGAGCTCGTTTTTATTTTTGATTCTGCCTCACTTTGCACTTAATGCTCATTTCGTACCTATGCATTGTTGATTAAAGTATACAAGCTTATAATAGGCATCCAAGTATAGATTGTTGAGTAAATTATTGTTCCGCATGAGCGCGATAAAATTGCATGTTATTAATTACTTCCGCTTCGCTCGGTCGTCTTGAGAGCGTAACTTCGATAATTTGAAAAAATTGTATATTATAAAAATTGTACATTAATGCTTAAGGATTAATTACCTGTATCTTAGATTATATCCATATGTACACACACGTAGGCATACGTATACACACACGCGCGCGCGCGCACACGCACACGCAAACACACGAGTACGTATGCGGTTATGCGCGTGTGCGTGGCGCGGACGAGCGGGCGCGCGTGTGTGTATACGTATAAATAATTCGAAGTATCCAGAGGCTCTCGAGAGCGACGTCTTTTCATTACGAACGATAGCAGATGGAGAGCCCGAGGATAATAAAAGTGAAAAAGAAGCCCAGCTGCGGCCTTGTTTTATCTGCAACTGCCAAGTTACGTGCGCGAATGCGGTGCAATAAAACTTGTCTTTCTTAAGAATCCTCGAAAGGAAGGAGAGTGTGTGAGAGAGAGAGAGAGAGAGAGAGAGAGAGAAGAAGTACAGGCCTTCGCTGACAAAACAAAAAGGAAAACGAGGAAAAAAGAAAAACGAAACCTACAAAAGCAGGTCATTGTCATTTTACGATATCGCCGCGCCCTTAGTCTGTAATTTTTAGCGGAAGATCGTTAAGGATTCAAAAAACAAAACAAAACGAAAAATATAGTTATCATAACTAATCTACGTATTGATCATTATTATTATCATTATTATTATTATTATTATTATTATTATTATTATTTTTATTACTATTATTATCATTATCATCATTAATATCATTATTATAAATATGATTGTAAAATAAGTATTAATATAGAGAGAAATGGTTATACATTGATAAGCGAACGTAGGGCGAAGGAAGTAATCTCCACTTTTATATTCTTACAATCATCTTTCGGTCAAATCGCTACTCGACATGTCAATTAATACTGAAAATCGACATTGCCACATAAATTTTCTTATGTTATCGAATAGTTTCAATATCAAGTACGATTGTCAAGTTATATTCTATTTTGTTTTTTATTCTTTTGATACAAAGAATATTTACTAATAGAGTAGAATAATAGAATGGACTATACCAATTGTATTTATAATTTAATGAATTTAACTTCGACGCATCAAGATGTGTCTACGGATTATTGAAACTAAAGTATACGTAAATTGTATAAATGGCGATGAGATCGGTGATATATATTTACGTTAAATATATTAACGTCATAATATTTTGACATGTCGTTTTCTGACACGTTGTCATAATATTTTTAATAATATTGTCTTTTTATAATTGAATTACTTTATTATTCTTATTTTATTTATATTATTCTTTTTATACTTGAATAAGGAATATGTATTTCTTTCTATGATATTAAGCTAATTAATATATATGAAAATACTAAATCATTTATAATTAAAATGAAAATCTCAATTTGGATGACAGACATGTTGATATTCAATGAAGTCAAAGCGTTTCATCACAATATTTTATAATATATAAAAATGTGGAGATTAACCACGTTCTTGTTTGTTTTTTTCTTCATAATCTAGCGTCAGTTTGTATAAAACGATTTCAAATATTAAATGAAAGAATTGAAGCGATCGATTATCGATGGTAATAATATTTGATCGCAAAAGAAGTAAATGTACGAAAAATCTATGTAATTAATTTTCAGACCTCCGTTGACTTGTTAATGAAATATCCCAAGGTTGATACCTAATTTTTTTTTTTTTTTTTTTTGATACGTTTCGAAAATGCGCGTTTCGACATCCGCATATATACGTAATTAGTTGAAAGGGCGAGTGAAAACGAAAGATTGAAAAAGAAAGGATGATGACGAGTGCGTCTTAAGATTTTTCAAGAACAGAGCAAGTGAGACTTGATATGTACATAATAATTAAACAATTACAAACATAAAACCGAACACGCGTACACAAGCACACATTCTCTATGTGTATATATAATTGATAGCATAGGGTTGTGTGTGTGCGCGCGCGCGCGAGTGTGTGTGTGTGTGTTTACGTGCATATATTATATAATAAAACTTATTAAAATACCGCAGTTACGAGTTATACGAGAGTAACGGTTGATGATGACAAAAAAAAAAAAAAAAAAGAAAAAAAATACGAGTCAGCAAAAGGAAAAATTAGTCCATCTATTCTGGGCCGGATGGTGCATGTAGAAATCTATCTTAAAGTGCTTCTTATTTCAGTGTGTTTAGAAGTAACGCATATGTGATATATTCTATATGAGGAGATGTTTTCTCTAGGCGAATGGAAAGAAAGTTTGTGGTAGTTGGATAATATGACGGATTTTAAAAAAATTCACGAGCGCTCTCTTTGGGTGACTTCCCTTGGCACAAAATTTTTTCAACGATAAATCTTTTCCGATATGTTCCAAGATTTTAACGATAAGCGTAATGTAATAGCGTATATCGAGCTCTCTCGTTTACACAATATATATTTGTTGAAGTTTTTGTTCACGATTGTCGAAATTTTTATTCGTTTATTTTTCATTCTTTCTTACGTTCTAATGTTTTTATTTATTATTTTTTATTATTATTATTATTTTATTTTTTATTTATACTGATATTTATGTTCGTCAATAATGAGTGGTTCGATTACGGATTTTCATATTTAAATTGTGGATGAATAAGATGAAAAAACGATTTTACAAGTAATTGAAAATCTTAATTGTTACACGCTGCCTCAATAAGAATTGTGTCATAATTTAAAGAAAAAAAAAAAAAAAAATAAGAATTTTTAAATTTACCGTAACTTATAGTTCTAATACAATAAGAAAGATATTAAGAGAAATCGATGTTCATTTTTTGAAATATAAAGTATTATAGAATTATAAAATTTTTATACTTATTCAATACGATATAAATAATAATGTATTACTGATAACATTGAAAATATCTAATGATTTATTGATAAATTACATAGGGCAATTAATATAAATTTATAAATAATGATTTGAAACAATGTGTTAATTGGCACTTGGAGTTTTTATTCTCTTTTTAAACTCGAAACAGCAGAGCCTGAGTCATTAATTAACAGAGATAATTATTATAAAGAATATATAAGTTATATAGACATCTTAAACTTGATTCTTATGGTGTTATTTGTAGAATTTGAATCGCTATGATATGCATTTATTAGTTATGTTTATCCGTGGTAATAATTTAAACAGGAATTTTAATAGAAGAAAGAAAAAAGATAATAAACATAAGACTGAACAAACTATTTGTTACGGATAAGTCTTATGAAAGTTTACTTGAATCGTGTCTTTTTCAATGCTACTACTTTTTTCTTAATAAACAGTACAAACTTCATACGACATTAAATAAAATTTCAGGATTAAAAGACTACTCGGAGTAAAAATATTTTTTTTATTCTAATTTACATGACTTGTATAGTCATGTCTTTTATGTTAGTATAAATTTTTTTCATTATACGCACATTCCCAATTTATTTTTATGTAAATTCATAGATAAGAATAAATTAATACAACGCGTATTTGGAATATCAATCTTTCTTATAATTCATCTTTAATAATGAGATTGTAACAATGAACAATTAATAATTATAAATTATTTCTCATCATTGCTTAAATTCATTTTATTCATTTATATATTTAATATGCTCCTCCGTGTAAATAAGCTCATAATTTTATGCATATTTGTGGCAAGATTTATGTGGCTAAATCATAAAACATAAAGTAATAGTAGGTGATGGATGTAATTCAAATGGAGCGTATTAAAGTTTCTTTAACGATACTTCAAATATTGAACATTTTCAATCAATTATTTCGAACTGTTAAAAACTGTTAAATACATTAACAGTTTTTTAATTTATAAGATATTCTGTTTCAGTAAAGGCGACATGCCGACAGTAAATTGCTCAAATTTTTGAAATTTTTGTTTTTTTCAACCTGATAAATCAAGAAAAGCTTTTACAATTAAATTTATGGCAAAAATTGAATGAATTATACGACAAAAATTAGCATTGATTGGCATTTAAGATTTATTCTTGCATAAAAGGGAATATTATTATTATAATACTCAATAAGCTCATACGCATTTATATTGAACGGAACAACTTCATTTTTTTTAATAATACGATAATTTGAGTATATATATTGTTAAAATACGGATTTTTACCATATAGAGTTTACTAATGTTCTTAATTGAGACT